GAGAGAGTTGGAGCAGAGGGAGAGTACTGGAGGAGCATAGAGAGAGTTGGAGCAGAGGGAGAGTACTGAGAGAGTTGGAGCACCTAGCTTAGTAATATTCCCTCTTCCTGTGAGGATACTGCAGATCTCAGCTCTGGTCAAGAGCAGCTCTAGAGACATTATCTGCTTTCTGAAGGAGAACAGTCCCTAGTCTCCTCCTGTTCTTTAACCTCTCACCCTGATTCCCTCTCACCCTGTGTGATTCACGGTAAAAGCTGGAAAGCTGTTCAGGCTTAGGGATGATAGTTTTAAAGGATATATGCAAGAGCTGTTATATCAAACCAAATGTTGCATTGTTTTGATTTGTTTTCATAGCCTTAAGAGGCAATGGCTTGAAGAATGTGGATTATAAACATTAATTACAGCTGCTAGTGTTACCAGGGAGTGTCTTAATCCCTGGGTTAGCCAAAGCTCGGGCCCATCGGGGGCTCAGACAGGGTTGATTATATAGGGTCTCTCCACAGCATGAGCACCTTCTCAAGGCAATGTATTCTGTAAAGGTGAGCTGTCTGTGCACTGTGCCAGTAACGGGCTGTTGCATCCCACTCCACTCCCCCCTCTGTCTCCTGCACTACACTGGCTGACAATAAATCATTCCACCCCTGTTTCAGAGCTTAGAGTCGCAATGTGTTCGTCCTTGCTTCTCAAATTATCGATATGCTTAATTAATCTAATATTCAGCTGCCAGGACTGGTTAGGAAATCTATGTTTCACTTATAACAGGCTGCATAAATCAGCCCTCACTCAAGCCTTTGATTTCTGGACTGTAGCCATGCCTTGGAGCTTGCCTGAATGTATATTCTTACATTTTTTTTTTTTTGTAGCTCAGACTAGTTAACTAGACATCCCCAGGGTTTACTTAAGGTTTTTATTGGGGGCCTATAGTGTCTTTTGTTGCCAGGCTGAGACCGCTGGAGTTGAGGGCTGTCCTGCAGGGGCTGGGACCTCCTTCTCATCCCTCCAGAGAACCGGAGCGATAGAACAAGTGCTGTCCTTCATCCCTGCTGGGACAGTGACAAAAGCCCTGTTTCTGCCTGCCTCAGTAAATTAGGGGAGCGTGAAAATAACAAACTGAAAGAATAAAGCAGAAATATAACGGAGTCGTTTTTTTTTTTTTTTTTTTAAGTTCATGTCACAAAAATCCATCTGTGTTTGGATGCAAACGCTGCACAAGTGGAGCGGCCTTGCCAGCTGTGAACAGGAGTCTGAGTGTCTGGCCACCAGCTACTTCGTCGTTGGACGCTGTTGCTGTTTTGCTCTTGCTCTTGCTGCTGCTCCAGTGAGAGCACGGGCATTGTGCTCAGGCACGGCCCAGTTTCGGTGCCCTTTCGCGCGCGTGGTGGGTGGTCCCCCCTGCTCCGGGTGGCACAGTGGCCTCTCCTGGCCAGCCTGGAGTTTGTACTGCGGCGGATCCGCCGGTTGTGTGCGTTCCTGCTCTCTGCTCCATGGCTAAGCCCTAAGCTTTCACAGCTGGCTGGCAGAGAAGAATGAAAAGACCTTCGCATACTGTCCTCGAGTATGTGCGTAAAAACAAATCGAAAGCAAAAGTAGCAAATGAAACCACGAGTAAAATTCAGTTTTATGTTGATGAAATGATGGCTATTTACTTGAGTTTTGAAAATGCTCGCAGTTGCAGAGTCTCTGATGTATTAGGGTGGTGAGTCTCACAATCA